TTTCCTTTCCTTTCCTTTCCTTTCCTTTCCTTTCCTTTCCTTTCCTTTCCTTTCCTTTCCTTTCCTTTCCTTTCCTTTCCTTTCCTTTCCCATTCTGTGGCCACAAAACCAGTTCCTACCTCTAAATACACACAAATTAGGTGGAAAATAAAACACTGAGCAAGATAAAACTTCAGAAAAAGAGGACTTTTCTCCATGGGCAGCATTCGTTCTTGGCACACAATTCCTACTCTGGACATGGAAAGGGGAAGCTCCTGATCCAAGATGCCACCAGCTTGGTTAGATCAGTGTCTCCTGCCTGGTTGGATGAGCATCTGCTGTTGATTCTTTGGAGATGTTGGGTGTCTCAGGTCGTGTCTGCTCTGAGACAGTGATGGATTCCAGCAGGGGATGGTCACAGCTGTGTGTGACACCCTGAGCTGTCCTGGAGCCCCCAGAGCAGACTTGGGGCCCAGGAACCCCCTCCTGCTCCCTGTCCCATCAGTCCTGCCTTGGGGGTGATTTTTGATGCACAGCCAAAGCTGTASAAAGAGTATCAGTGAGACAAGGTCCCACAAAACCAACTTTCCCCACTGCCTACAGGCATTTTAAACTTCTTAAAATAATAGACTGCTCTTGAATGGATCTGGGGTTGAATGGGGAGCCAGAAATACAGATGGTTGTGGGGATAAAAAGTGAATTTCTAATCTTACAGGAGCATTGCCATTGACTTAACCAGGATAAAATGCCAGGTTGGAATTTCTATAGACTTTGAAACCTTACTGCAAAAATCAAAGAGGTGAGGAGGCTTCACTACTGTTCATTGAGGGAAAGTTCCAGAGCAGGGCTGMTRGAGGAACTGGTCATGGAAAGCAAAATGTGATCCATTGACTCAGTATTTTCTCTTACTAAATTTACCCTGTGCAATTTGTGTGCCTGTCTATGCGCATTACCCAGAAATTAAACCAGGGAGCCTTGATTGATACCCCTTCAAGAGAGGAATCATTTACCTGYAATCAGTGCCCTCCCAATGGAGAAGCACTTTGAGGACAGTTAACGTGAGACATGGGGCTTTTTAAGTGAGAAATAGTGGGATATCAAGGGAGATCTTTAAAGTAACAGTCTGGGTAATTACAGCCTTGCCACAGCTTGGCTGTATAATGAGGSTTTCATTTGTAGTTATTAGCAGAGAGAGCATTAAATCACCTCTCCATCAGCATGGAGCAGTCACAGGAGTTGCCAGAGGAATTTTTTTTTTTTTTTTTAGATTACTGAAAAAGGCAAGGTTTTGACTTAAAAGAGTAATGGCACCATTGCAGCTGCTTTGGAAACRAGCTTGGCCAAAGGAGGAAATAAAAGCTGAGGGGTGTGAGGAACAAAYAAAATCGAGCAGCAATTTTACGCTCTGAGGAGGATTTGGCAGTAAAAACACAGATTGTGTTTTGCTCTCAGGGAGCTCAGAAGCAGAGCGGTGATCCCCCATCCGTGACTGAATTCCCAGAGCAGGGAACAAGAGCTGGATCTGTGGGAAAGGTTCTACAGGGAACCCCAGGCCTGCTCCAAACCCTGCAAGRGCACTGAGCTCCCACTGCTATGGAAACAGATTTTCCAGGATTTATTTCACCATATCTTTGAAATGCCAGTGCTGCTTATACCTTATTCCTTAAACAAGCAGAGGGAATGAGTTCCTTCAGTGCCATTTACAGTGTTTGAAAGGTACTTTCTGAGAACAGAAAGAGCACAAAAATCCCATGACATCCTCAAATCTGTTCTCCCAAACCCAGATTCTCCATCAGAACAGCCCATTCCAGGTACTGCCTACAGCAGACTTTTAAGATCCTTAAAGCTGAGCCTGAAATCCTTTAAAAGCAGGGAAGGTGCAGAAACCTTTCAGCTCTTGGAGGCACTGTCAGAGTGAGGATGGGCACTGAATCTTTTGGGAATCACTGGGCTGGGCTGAGCATCTCCAGCACTGACATCAGCACTGCCAGGACCTGAGGGGCTGGGAATCCTTGRAAATCTGTGGATACTGAGTCTTCTTGCTGCAGGGAATTTTTGGGAAACTGTGAATATTGAGTCCTTTTTCTGTAGGGGATGGGGAATTCTTGGAAACCTGTGGATATTGAGTGCTGTTGCTGTAGGGGCTGGGAAACCTTGGAAATCTGTGAATTCTGAGCCCTCTTGCTGTAGGGAATCTTTGGAAATATGTGGATATTAAGCCCTGTTTTTGTAGGCAATCTTTGGAAATCTGTGTCTATTGAGCCCTGTTGCTGTAGGGAATTTTTGGGAACCCGTGGATATTAAGCCCTGTTGTTGTAGGGAATTTTTGGGAGCCTGTGGATACCGAACCCTCTTGCTGTAGGGATTCCTTGGAGCACTGTGGATGTTGAGCTGCTCAAGGGTTTAGAGCATCACCAGCTGCCTTCATCATTTTCTTTGTGACTGTGACAAGAAGGACCAACATTTTTTGTGATCATTTTCTTGGGAAAATCAGGTTTTCCCTGCAGATGTTTTCAGCTGGGCTGTGTGAGTTCAGGGACAGCTTCACACCCTCCCTGTGTTGAGATGAGCTGAGAGAGAAGATTTGATTCCCCTCTGTCCCAAGGGGCGTTTGAGGGTCACAGGGTTGGACCCTTGGGTGCCACAGCATTAAGAAGAGACCTGTAGTGACAAAATCACACTGTCCCCTGCCCCCATCACARGCTGCTTGTGTCCCTCTTGATGAATTCATAATTGCCTAATTTAAGAAGAAGGAAGACAGACTGGAAAAGGAAAATCAARCTGTGCAGAAATCGCCCACGATCGGGGCGCTCCAAAGAAAGGAAACTCGACTTGAAAGGCCGAAGGAAAAAGGCAACGATGATTCAAAGCTGCTTCTCTGAATCCTGCAGCACCTCTAGCACACATCAGCACACCTCCCCACTTTCCAGCACCCCGAGAAATTTCCCTTACACCGTGTTTTCCAGAGGGGTGGCACAGCACGTTGGTGCGGCTCCTGGGAAGGGGCGTTTTTGGGGCTAAACTCTGGTTTTTTGGAGTTATTTGCTGTTTTGAAGTCAGTTCATTCCTTCAGCTTTCCTCTGCAGAGCCACTTGGCTTCAGGCCATGTGGATCTGTCACAATCTGACTTAATTTTCCTCTGGAGTGAGAATATCCATGAAAGGGGGTCTGAAGGCTTCATTTTTCTTCTTAACGCTGTCCATAAGTGCGTTAAACCCTCCACCCTTCTGTACTGCTGCTGGACGTGTATAAATACACATCTCCAGGGGTACTCAGGTGTACAGAGAGACAAATGGCAATCCAGGGGCAGGAAATGGCACAGGAAAGGCTGGAAAATGGCATTTTAAGGCACACAGAGCCTCACAAATCTCGTGCTGTAYGAGGAGGTTCATCAGACACCTGGACACCCCCATTAAAAAATCCTCTGTGAATGTCCAGAGTCCACAATCAGGTCCATCGCTGCTCTGGATTTTATAAACTTCACCTATTGAAGCTCTAAATTGTGKGGGAAAACATTTTTATCACCAGTGTGGCAAATACCAAAGGTCAGTGCAGGTTTTTCTGTTTGCTGATCTGGTSTTCAAGGCTGTTAAAAACCTTTAGCAGCAGATTTGTGAGTCGCTCCTACAGCACCCAGCAGGATCCTGCACGATTTATTGGGGTTTTGTGCCTCCTTAAAACTCATTTTGGCCCCGAGTGCCCCAATTGGGGCCTGTTGGCCCCCTCTGGTGGCAACCCTGACAGAAAGGAAAATAAAACAAAAATCTAAAAAATAAATTAACATTAAAACACCGAAAATTGCCTCTGAAAGCAGATTTCCCATGTGTTGAGCACTATAGAAAATCCACTGAGGCGTTTTAGGAGAGAACTGTGTCAGTCCAGCTCTTGCTGTGGGTGTTCTGTGCTGTGACTGTCACCTGCTGCCTGGAGGTGTCTATTAAAAACTTTAATAACTCCTGTCAGTTCAGGAACAGCTGGTTTTAGCCAGGGCTGTGTTGGCTGTGAGGCTCATTGGGGACAGGACTATGCTTTCCACACTCCTCATGTCCATCCTCAATCTTTGCACCTCGGGGCCACCTTCCCACAGTGCCACCACCTCTCTCCCAGCCAGATCAGGGCACAGACTCCATCCCAGGGTCACTGAGGCTGGGAGAGCTCTCCAAAGCTGTGCCCAGTCCCCACTGATCACTCAGTGCCACCTCAGCCCATCCTGGGACACCTCCAGGGATGGGCACTCCAAACCTCCCCCGGCATTCCAATGCCTGGCCACACTTTCCATGGAGCAATTCCTGCTGAAATCGTGATGGTTGAGGGTGAGGAGGAACATGGAGAGCCTTGGGACTCCTTTTGGAATGGAAGGACTTTCTTGGAGGGCAGAGGACCTGGGAAGGTGCCATGGGGAGATGCTCTTGGGGAGCCCAGGCCCTTTATGGGGTCAGTGGTTTGGGGGAGATTTCCTGGACTGTCCAGAGGTAGAAAAACATTTCACAGAATCCCAGAATGGTTTGGGTGGGAAGGGACCTTAAAACTCATCCCATCCCACCCCTGCCATGGGCAGCGACACCTCCCACTGTCCCAGGCTGCTCCCAGCCTCAATGTCCAGCCTGGCCTTGGGCACTGCCAGGGATCCAGGGGCAGCCACAGCTTCTCTGGGCACCCTGTGCCAGGGCCTGCCCACCCTCCCAGGGATCAGAGGTGCCTGGTTCAATGAATTTTCACATTGTGACACGGGAATGTAGAATGACACTTTAATCTCTCTCAGCTTGAGAAAATTTCTTGTAAAATAATTAGGGAAAGATCACCGATGCCTGATTATCATTTTCTCTAATAAAATAAACTCACATTATTCTTCTTGCTGAGTAAGGACTGAGACCCTTCATCACCAGCCCCCAGATCACTCCAGACAGGGTGAAATTTCTTGCCATGAATTCTTTCTGCACTGACACCATAGAATTTAATCTGTTTGGGCTCCTCCTGTATGCCTCTTTGCATTCCAAACAACAGCATTGCATGTGATATTCCTGCTGATGGAAAAGAAAGAAATAATGCCAGTAATATTTCAAAGGAAGTCCTGAAGGTTTATTTCAGTGTCTACTCAACTGGCACTGAAATAAATTGCATTGGTGTRCGCTGGTTTCACTCGCTGGGAGCCTTCCCAGGTGAGAACACAGCCTTTAGTCCATTTTAATTTTCTTTTGTTGCCCTGAGTGCATCAGCAAGGCAAACACTTCCCTGGCTGCTGATTTCATGGAGGGGAATCTCACTGGGGGCAGAGCATCCTTTTTTTGGTGACATAAAAGATGTTTAATTCTCCGCAGAGAGCAGGAATGGTCAGATATTGCATCGAACAACATTTCCCTGTGCCCTGAGTGAGTGTGAGAGGGGGCAAAGGAAGGGGCTGAGAGGTCCTGGCAGAGATTTCTGGAGGTGTTTCCAGCCCAAACCCTTCTCAGTCTCACATTTGGTTGTATTGGTGCCTTTTTGGGTTTACCTAAAGCAGAGTGTGGCCAGAAYTGAGAGAATCCAAAGCAGTTCTGTTCTTGCAGGGCCTTCAGGGCCATTCAGGGCAGTCCCAGCCCAGCCAGGGGCTGCACCCACAATGGACAATGGCTCACGGCTTTTTCACCCTTTCTCACTTTTGTCCATTTGCACATCGGGATTTGCTGAATCCTCCAATTGCAGCTGCAGCCAATGCAGTCAAAAACTCCAACTTGGCTCCCCCAATTCTCTGTTGTTTCCATCCCTTGAGGCCTGGCACAGGGAGGTGTCCTTGAGTTTGGGGCTGCAGAGGAATTGTTTTGTGTAAAAATGGGAGAGCAGGAGCTCAGCACTGTCTGTGGAGTCTGGAGTTAAACACTGAAGAATTCCAGGGGTACAGAGACATGGAAATAGAGAAGCTGAAATCCTGAGGGATCAGTGTGTGATGAGATCCATGAGCGTTCCCACAGGAGGATGTGGTGTTAGGCAAAAAAAACCGCTGAAAATATTGATTTTTTTTTCAAATTACATCTCTGAATTCCCATTCTCCTGCTGCCCCAGCAGCTCCCTGTGCAGCTCAGGAGCATCACCTGGAAAAACATTGGCTCAGCAGGAGATTCTGCCCTCCCTTACACAGGGTGGGAARGGAAAAGGAACAAATTACAGATTCCAAATTCCTGGAGAATGAGAGACTCATTTAAATGGGGAAAGAGCTCAATTTGGGATCAGGCAGTTCCACCATGAACCTGTCCCTGCCCAGTCCACACAGGAGAAGCTCTGCAGGACACTGCAGTTGTCATTAAACCAAAGGAAGACAACTTTTTGCTGAGAGTAGATGCAGTCTGTACATCAGCATGGAGACAYGGCCACATGAGGCCAAAATCTAATTTAAAACATTCCTAAACATTTAAAATTAGAACATCAATTAACAAAAACAGAGCCAACACAGCTTCTCTCACTGTGCACCCACCTTTCCTTCTCCCCACAATTTCCATTTATCCAATTTACGCACAGAAATGAGGAGTTTATGCTGTGACAACGCTGTGGGTGAAGCTGTTTCCCACCACAGGAGTGCCTCATTTCTCTCAGGAGATATCAGATGTTCTGTTAAAGCTGGTAGAGCTTCCCAAATCCCTCCTTCTGGACGTCCCAGGGTTGTTGGACATCCTGGTGATTCACTGGACAGGGAACTGGGCACTGACGGGGCTCAAGGAGCAGCTGGAAGAGGTTTTTAATTCAGTTTTAGGTAAAAGGAGCAGAGAGAAGGATCTGTTGATCCTAAAGGATCCCTTCCAACTTCCAACTCCCCACTTAAGTTCTGAGCTGGACCTGGCATAATTAACCTGCACAATTATCCCAGGTAATCTGTGCCCAGGTCAGAGGAGCTGGGTCAGCCCAGCCTGAGCAAAACCCATCCCCTGACACAGAAATCCCTGTGGGATCACCCATTGAGAGAGCACAGGGATGGGACACAGAGCTGGGAGAGCTTTTTGCTCCCTGAGGGCATTGTTGGACATTTCTGAGCTGTCAGTGACTCAGGGTTGGGTGTCTGAGTGGCAGAAAAGTGTCATCAGAGGAATCCTGCTGAATTTCACCCCTGGAGTTGGTTTTCTGGGAATTTCTCATGTCCTGCTGACAGTTTTCTGTGCCGTGTTGACCCTTGGTTTTATATCTCAGGATGGRGTAAGAGGAGAGGTGAGGCAGGAAAATGCTTGGGGGGGTTCTACAGTTTTCATTCTCTTTCCCAGGGACAAAATTGTCTTTCAAGGATGTCCAGTCCACTCTGTCCCAGAGCTCTCCAAGCTTTGCCAGCCACAGAATGGGATTTTTAGGATTTCTCCTCCTGGAACAACCCCAACAAAACCCACTGGAATTTCTTACTGCACTGAGAGCATCTGGTTGTGTCAGAAACATTGATTTTCTGCGTTAGAAAAGTTTCAGATCCACTTTTAAAGCAGGGTTGCATGTGGAATGTACATGCACTGTTCCCAGAATAACCATCCCTTCTCTTTCTTCTCTTCCAGGCAGCTGATCCTGCCATGGAGGGCATCAAAAAACCCATCAGGACAGGTAAGACCCTGAAATCAAACACACAATTTGTGACATCTGCGATGCAAATATTCCCCAGGGTCATGAACAAGCCAATTGTGCACATCTTAACATTTCCCAGAAAGATTCTTCTTGGTGAAGAGCCAAAGTAGTGGGGGGTGGGGGGGGGGAATTGAAAATAATAAGAAGAAAGAAGCTTTCAAATCACTCAGTACATCCAGGAGCCAGTGCATGGGTGAAGAAATAACAAATATTTTTGAATGTGCCCTGGGGTGTCTGTGCTACAGAGCTTTTTGCCAGATGATGTGAACATTGCTCTGACTTTAAAGGTCTCATTTTGAGTGCTGGCTCTTGCAAATGTGTGCAAGGTCCTCGTTTTCACAAGGCAGGGGGGAAATGTGTTCCACATATTCCAAAAGAGCTCCTGGATTGTGGGGAAAAGGGAGAAGGGAACGGGTGAGTCAGGAAGGGACAAGTGGAACAGCAGCAAAAGGCACAGAGCAGGGAATTAAAGCAGGCAGAGAGTGAGCACAGGGAGCTGAAAATGGGCAAATCTGTGTAACAGGGACGAGATTCTGCTTCTCCTTGGCATAAATCAGGAGCGCTGTTCGTCTCACTGGTGTTGCTCTGGCTTTCAGCATCGATATTTGATTCCTTGCAAAGACAAATTCCTCCAGTCCCAGAGGGCAGGAGATGCCTCTGCCTCCCTCTGCAGCTGGGAAAATGAARCCCAGTGTCCATCTGGAGGTGGGGCAGAATGGGAGATTGGAGGAAACTGGGATTGTTCAGCTACAGCAGAGACTGAGCTCAGAGCTCCCCGGGGCTGCAGCTCCTCCCGAGGGGCAGCTCCGATCTCTGCTCTGGGACAGGGACAGRAGCCRGGGAAYGGCTGGAGCTGGGCCAGGGCAGGCTCAGGCTGGAGAGCAGGGAAAGGTTCTTGTGTCCCCAGAGGGTGCTGGCACTGCCCAGGCTCCCCAGGGAATGGTCCCGGCCCCGAGGCTGCCAGAGCTCCAGGAGCGTTTGGACAGCGCTGCCAGGGATGGACAGGGTGGGGCTGTTGGGGGGTCTGGGCAGGGACAGGRGCTGGGCTGGGTGATCCTGGGGGTCCCTCCAGCTCGGGATATTCTGTGATTCCATGATTCCAAGAAGCCCAAGATCTGCAGAGTCCCAATTCCACAGCCCCCTTTTCTGCAGCTGCGTTTTTGCAGCATTTGGGCCACATTTGCCATGTTTTGGAGAACTTTTGAATCCCCGACTCTCCCATGTTGGGTTTGTTTCACAGCCCACAATTCCCAAAGTAATCCTTATGTGTCACTGTGCCCTTTCTGAGAGCTTCTTGCCTGACCATCAGGTTTTTTAGGTTTTAAAATTCCTGTAACCTGGAGGAATTTTCTTTTCCCCTTAGGGTCTCCCTAGAGAATCCTAAGCACACACAGTTTTCTCTCTCTCAACCTAAGCATCCCCTTAAATCTTAAGTCTTTTTCAAGTCTTTTCATGCTTTATTTTGTATCTGAAGAGACTCAGGAATGTGCAGGATCTGAAGGTGTGGAGCCTTGTGATCCACAGAGGAGGAGCCACAGAGGTTGTGTYTGTAGGTCAGCGCTTTTCAAAGCAAAGCACAAGGGGTAGGGGCATTCCCAGGACAAAGAGAGAGATGTCACTGGTCCTAGAGTATATTTATATTTTTTATTTTTATTTATATATTTTATCTATATCTATATCTATATCTATATCTATATCTATATCTATATCTATACCTATATCTATATCTATACCTATATCTATATCATCTATATCTATATATATTTTTTTATTTTTTACTTGTACTTGTATTTGTAGTTTTAGTTTTAGTTTTGGTGATAGTTTTAGTTTTATTTGAAAGAAAACCATTTATATATCAGACATATATACAATATATAAACTACATATATTAACAGTATATAAACTTTTTTTTTAACATAGATATGGTTTTATTTCAACTCAAGCAACCCGTGCCAGTTGTTTTTTTCTCCKCACCAGCAGTGGCAGGTGCCAGGTAGGAGCAATGTGCTCTCCCCAGGAATGGCCAGGATGCTGTTTCAACAGCCAGAACATTTTCATCTTTAGGTTCCTATCAATCCCAGTCACCCTCTTGCTCTGAATTCTGAATTTTGCTGCTAAATGTGAGATGGTGCCATTAGTGAAGGACAAAAGGGACTGACAGTGAGACCCCAAGGCAGGAGGAGCTGCTGAAAGCTGTTTTTTGTGGATTTTAATGCTCTCCCATCCATCCCATCAGTCTCTGTTGGAGGGTAATGGAGCATTCAAGTGTGACCACATTGCCAGGGCCTTTTATTTTCCTCTTAAAATGCATAAAGCAGGGCTAATGAATAATTAAGTATACCCCAGTGGGTAATTAATTAATATACCCCAGTGGGTAATTTACTGAGGGCCCTCACAGGGAGCTCTGTCAGCTGCTGGCCACCAAGCAGGGACTTGTGGCAACCATGGCAAGGTCCGAGACGGGAACAGGAGAAACTCTGCAGGGAGGGGATGGGGTGGGGCTGCCATGGATTTGGATTTGGTTTGAATTGGGTTTGGATTTGGATTTGGATTTGGTTTAGATTTGGTTTGGATTTGGATTTGGTTTGAATTTGGTTTGGATTTGGATTTGGTTTATATTTGGGTTGGATTTGGTTTGAATTTGGGTTGGATTTGGATTTGGTTTAGATTTGGTTTGGATTTGGATTTAGGTCCCAGGCAGCCCAGGTGTGGATTGGGACTGTTTTGTGCCCATGAACCTGTGCTGGTAAAAGGGAAAAGGGAGTGAGGAACCAGCATTGCCCATTGGCAGTGGGTGCTGAGCCTGGCTGCAGCCCTGTGCCAGTGCCAGAGATGYTCCTGGGGGACACAGCCCATCCCTGGAGTGTCCCAGGCCAGGCTGGACGGGGTTTGGAGCACCCTGGGACAGTGGGATGTGTCTGTAAGGTCCCTCCCAACCCATCCCATGATYCTGTGACACAAAAATTCCATGCTGGGACCAGCCAGGGTCACTCAGACAGAGACCCCACTGCGAGGGGCTGATGTCTAAAACAAGGCTCACCTGGAACAGAGCCCAGACAAATTAAGAGAATAAAAGCAGATAAATTTAATCCAGGCCTACAGGTACATTAAGAGCAGACAAAGCCTCCTCCTGATCCTACACCCAAAATGGACCCCGAGTCACGAGATCTTCACCTTTTATCAGTTCTGTCTCATTCACACATCGGGCCCCAATTCTCCAATGACACCTTCAGGTGATGATGTCACCCACCCCAAACCTGCTCCCCCAGTTCTCTGTGGTTTCCATATTTTGGGGCTCTGAGGCAGCAAATTGTCCTTGGATTTCAGGCTCAGAGAGGAATTGTTTTGTTTAAAGATGTGAGAACAGGAGCATTAGTGCTGTACTAGAGAAGAACAAGAATACACGTACATAGAAAATTCAGAATATAAAAAATATAGAAACTGAAAAATCCTAAGGCATTAGGGCAGCAGCCCTGACCCAGCCACAACACCAAATGAATTGTGTTTTATTAAATCAGGAAAACACGCTGGTTTAATTGAAACCCCTGATGAGATTATGTTCTGTTGTTAGCTAAACASCAGTGGGCACTAAAGCAGATTTCTGGGAGGTTTCCATCCCCAATGGATGGGCTGCAGGGATCCACAGGCACAGGCTGTGTCAGCTCATTAAAATTGTGTGAAAAATGGGATCAGCCTCTTGAAATGCTCTGTGCCACTGTTGGAGCAGCACCTGAGCAACAGAGGGGAGGAATCAAATCTATCAGCAGCTAAATGGTTGTGAGGTGTTCTTTTTGTGGAAGCATTTCTCCGGAGAAAGCCATCCCCGTTTCACAAATAACAAATCATGGATTAGTACGGATCAGAGAGGTGTTATGTTCATTTTTTAGAGGGCAACTGAACTCACAGAGAAATTTATGAGCTGCGGAGTCTGGAAAGGTGCAGCCCTCATCATCTCCTTGCTGGTCTCTCTGAGCCTCATTTCCCTGGGAATTGTGCAATCCAGGGCTGATGGTTTTTCTTGATGGCTGAACTGCAAAGATTTGGTACCGAAATCTCTTCTATTCACAAAAGGAAAAATAATCTCTCAAGACAACACACACACATATATCATTTATAGGTATTTTTCTCTGGCACTGGACAGACCAGGAAAAGAAATCCAGTACCCCACTCAGAGTTTCAATGGGAAATAGGTTCCCAAATAAAAATCTGACTCTGATAGATTAGTACAACACAGGTGACAGTCACAAACTTGCCACCACAGAGTAAATCAGGCTGAAGGCAATGAGCCAAGAAGCCTTTTCRGATTTGCAGCAATATCTCACAGGGTAGTTTGGCCCTCTGCAAGTAAATCTGATCTTTTCCAGCATGAAATTATCCCAGCATCATGAGGAGGRGCTGAGRGAGCTGGGRAAGGGGCTCAGCCTGGAGCAAAGGKGGATCAGGGGGGACCTTGTGGCTCTGCACAACTCCCTGACAGGAGGGGACAGCCGGGGGGGTCGGGCTCTGCTCCAGGGAACAGGGACAGGAGGAGAGGGAACGGCCTCAGGCTGGGCTGGGGAGGGGCAGGGGGGACAGCAGCAGGAATTTCCTCATGGAAAGGGTGCTCAGGGATGGGCAGGGGCTGCCCAGGGAGGTTTGGAGTGCCCATCCCTGGAGGTGTCCAAGGAAGGGCTGGAAGTGGCACTCAGAGCGCTGGGCTGGGGACAAGGTGAGGATAAGGCACAGCTCAGGCTCACTGATCTTGGAGGGCTTTTCCAGCCTCAGTGACTCTGGGATTCTGGGATAACATTGGGATCTTCAGAAATGGGCATTTCACACTTGAAGGCTGTCCCTTCTGAGCCCCAGCCCAGGGCTGTGACAGATGTGACACTGCCCCAGCTCTGTGTGCCCCTGGCAGGTCAGGCCACAGGGATTGTGCTGCTCAGCTCGAAAAATTTGGGCAAGCCTGGGCTTGCAGATGCTAAAAAGAGTKCAGGGGC